TCTCCTTTAAAAAATCGTATTTCGCAAACTAAGGCAAGTAGCAACCTGCAATCGTCAGCATATTAAGACCCGAAATATGCCGAAATGGGCATAGCAATTGCAGAAGTTCTTGATTTTTTCGCGTTTAGTAAATGTTGGTCCAAAAATTTATGATTTCAGTCAACTGTGATCTCATTTTTCAAAATTCACAACTTTTCAACCCAAGCAGACACGTAACTCTGAAAGTGCTGAATTTTTCTTAAAACAGAATGAAAATCCGGGTTTTACGAGCTCAATAAATGTGTGGCTCAAAATTAATGTTCTCTCCTTTAAAAATTCGTATTTCACAAATTAAAGCAAATAGCAACCTGAGATCTCCAGCGTATTTAGACCCGAAAAATTCCGAAATGGTCATAGCAATTGCAGAAGCTCTTGATTTTTTTCCAGTTCAGTAAATGTTAGTATAAAAATTGATGATTTCAGTCAACTGCGTTCTCTCATTTAAAAATTCCCCTTTTCTAAACTAGAGCAAGCAGTAACCTGAAACTTGCCAAATCTTGAGCAGATATTTGACACTAAAAATGCTGAAATTAAAAAAAAAGTGGCTCAAAATCCTAATTTTTTCCAGTTGATCAAATGTTGGCTTGAAAATCGATGTTTTCACTCAACTGCGTTCCCCCTTTAAAAAATAAAATCTTTCAAATTGACGAAAATAATAACCTGAAAATTTCACGATCTTTTGAAGATAGTTGGCTCTAAAGATACTGAAATGTTTCTAACAATTGAAAAAATCTTGCTTTTCTCCAGTTTAGTAAATGTTGGTCCAAATATTGATCTTTTCAGTCAGCTGCGCTCTCTCATTTAAAACTTCACATTTTCCAAACTGGAGCAAGCAGTAATCGGCAACTTTCAAGATCTTCAGCAGATGATAGACTCTAACGATGCTGAAGTTTTCATTAAAGTGACCTAAAATCCTGATTTTTTTTCCAATAAAGTAAATGTTGGTTTGAAAATTGATCTTTTCAGTCAACTGCGTTCCCCCTTTAAAAAATAAAATCTTTCAAATTGACGAAAATAATAACCTGAAAATTTTACGATCTTTTGAAGATACTTGACTCTAAAGATACTGAAATTTTTATAACATGTGAAGAAAATCTTGCTTTTTTCCGTTTAGTAAATGTTGGTYCAAAAATTGATGATTTCAGTCTAAAAATGCTGGAGTTTTCATTAAAGTGGCCCAAAATCCTGATTTTTTTTCCAATAGAGTAAATGTTGGTTTGAAAATTTATGATTTCAGTCAGCTGCGTTCTCTCATTTAAAAATTCTCATTTTGCAAACTAGAGCAAGCAGTAACCTGAATCTTTCAAAATATTTAGCAGATATTTGACACTAAAAACGCTGAAATTTTCAAAAAAGTGGCCCAAAATCCTGATTTTTTTCCAATTGAGTAAATGTTGGTTTGAAAATTGATGTTTTCAGTCAACTGGGTTCCCTCTTTAAAAAATAAAATCTTTCAAATTAACGAAAATAACAACCTCCAAATTTCACGATCTTTAGAAGATACTTGACTCCAAACATACTGAAATTTTTATAACATGTGAAGAAAATCTTGCTTTTTTCCGTTTAGTAAATGTTGATTCAACAATTCATGATTTCACTCAACTGCGCTCTCTCATTTAAAAATTCCCATTTTCCAAACTAKAGYAAGCAGTAACCTGAAACTTTCAAAATCTTTAGCAGATGGTTGACTCTRAASATGCTGAGATTTTCATAAAAGTGGCCCGAAATCCTGATTTTTTTTCCAGTTGAATAAATGTTGGTTTGAAAATTGACGTTTYCACTCAACTGAGTCCTCTCTTTAAAAAATAAAATCTTCCAAATGAAAGAAAATAACAGCCTGAAAATTTCACGATCTTTAGACGAAACTTGACTCTAAAGATATAGAAATGTTCATAACAATTGAAGAAAATTTGGATTTTTTTCAGTTTAGTAAATTCTGGTTCAAATATTGATGTTTTCAGTCATCTGCAGTCTCTCATTTAAAACTTCACATTTCCATACTAGAGCAAGCAGTATCCGGAAACTTTGAATGTCTTTAGCAGATGATKGGCTCTAAAGATGCTGAAATTTTCAAAAAAGTGGCCCAAAATTCTGATTTTTTCCAGTTGAGTAAATGTTGGTTTGAAAATTGATGTTTGCACTCTCTCATTTAAACATTTACATTTTCCAAATTGGAGCAAGCATTAATCGGCAACTTTCAAGATCGTTAGCAGATGATAGACTCTAACGATGCTGAAGTTTTCATTAAAGTGACCCAAAATCCTGATTTTTTTTCCAATAAAGTAAATGTTGGTTTGCAAATTGATGTTTTCAGTCAACTGGGTCCTCTCTTTAAAAAATAAAATCTTCCAAATGAAAGAAAATAACAGCTTGAAAATGTCACGATCTTTTGACAAAACTTGACTCTAAAGATACTGAAATGTTCATAACAATTGAAGAAAATTTGGATTTTTTTCAGTTTAGTAAATGTTGGTCTAAAAATTGTTGATTTCAGTCAACTGCGTTCTCTCATTTAAAAATTCCCATTTTCTAAACTAGAGCAAGCAGTAACCTGAAACTTGCCAAATCTTGAGCAGATATTTGACGCTAAAAATGCTGAAGTTTTAGAAAAAGTGGCTCAAAATCCTGATTTTTTTCCAGTTGAGCAAATGTTGGTTTGAAATTTGATGTTTTCAGTCAACTGCGTTCCCCCTTTAAAAAATAACATCTTTCAAATTGACGAAAATAATAACCTGAAAATTTCACGATCTTTTGAAGATACTTGGCTCTAAAGATACTGAAATGTTTATAACAATTGAAAAAAATCTTGTTTTTTTTCAGTTTGATAAATTTTGGTCCAAATATTGATGTTTTCAGTCATCTGCAGTCTCTCATTTAAAACTTCACATTTCCATACTAGAGCAAGCAGTATCCGGAAACTTTGAATGTCTTTAGCAGGCTCTAAAGATGCTGAAATTTTCAGAAAAGTGGCCCAAAATTCTGATTTTTTCCACTTGAGTAAATGTTGGTTTGAAAATTGATGTCTGCACTCTCTCATTTAAACATTTACATTTTCCAAAAGAAAGCAACTACCAATCTGAAAATTTCAACGTCGTTAGCAGGTACTCGACTCTTTAGATGATAAAATTTTCTTCAGCGAACTGCGTTGTCGCCTTTAAAAATTTACATTTTTAAATATAAAGCAAGCAGCATTGTAAAGATTCCAACATCTTTAAATAAACTGGATTTATTTTTAATTTGCGGAATAGCAAGATTTTTTACCAGCTTAGTAAATGTTGGTAAAAAAATTGAAGTTTCCCTGAGTTCCTAAAAATTGACGCTGCAGGTTCTTCGACTTTGTTGTTAAAAAGTGCACAGTCGTTCGACCGAAATGTGTTCAGTAGATTTTGAAAATTTCACGTTGGTACCTGCCCTTCTTTAGTAGCTATGAATTTTTAAGCGAGAATGTGCAGTTGGGTGAACACATGCAATTTGAGACTAATATTCACTAAGCTGGCAAAAATCATTCATGCGGACAATGTGGCCGAAAACTTCACAATTTCTAGATGCTGTTCTGTTCGAAGAACTGTGAAGATTTCAAGTTGCTTCGTTCTCTCGTTCGGTAGCTAGGAATTTTGAAGCGAGAGAGTGCAGTTTGATGGTCTTAACCTGGCAAAAATGAATATTTCTGGCGATTTTGATGGCATCTTTCTTAACTTGGAAACCAAGTGTTTTCTAAAAACGGTGAAAACTCCAATTTGCTTTTCGCTCTAGGTAGAAGTTGGCAATGTTTTTAAAAGAAGGAGCGCAGCTGGAGAAAATGATCATTTATGAGACCCACATTTTTTAAGCTAGCAAAAGTCAAGATGTTGCACAATTTTTGCAGGAAATTTGCAGCTTTCCATTTTCGAAAAAATGGGGTACACTTGACATTGCTCGCTGCTTTAGTTTGGAAGCTGCAACTTCTTGAAGAAGAGAGCTCCGTTCGGAGAAATCACCCATTTTAAGACCCACATTTACTAAGCCGGCAAAAATCAGAATTCTAAGCGATTCTAATGAAACTCTTACTGTTCTTAAACCTGCCTAAAAAGCTCTTTTAAAAGTGCATGCCCCCTTTGTTTCGAAGATGTAGGTACATTTTAAAGCAGAGAGTGCTGTTGGGTTATTCATATGGAGAGTCAGTTGCACTTTCAGAGCTTTAGAGTCAAGTTGCTTCAACTATCGCCAATTTTTTTACATTCAATACTCGAAAATACACTCACTGGTATCATTTTCGAAGAGAAACGAGCAGTATTGCTGAAGATTCGATTGGGCTGCCATAGCAGCCGGATCGCTGAGATTTAGTTTTTCTGGCTCACTTGGCACTACACAGTTTTGCCCATGGCTGTTATCGTCTATATTGCAGACATGCAAGAAACTGCAGAAAGGCTTCAGGTCGCTGCTCGCCATCAGCACATCCACTAGCAAAAATGCCGTGAGGTACCATATTTTGCTATAGAAGCCTAAGAGAAATTAACGTTTAAGCCAAGCACCTGCTGTTCCTCTTGAGGATGATTGCTGCATTATATGAATCGATTGAAATTAACTCACCGATCATTTTCACTTGTTTGGGCCTGTTCAGATCAAACAGTGTCAGGAATATTTACCAAATTGTCCATATCTTGGAAACACCTGCGGTATTATCAGTGCAGGTGTACAGGGCAGACTAATCGAAACCGGCGGATAATGAGAAATCATCGAACTTAATCAATAAAATGTATTGGTACTTGACGATTGATTAATCTCATTTTGAAATAATCGCTTCCAAGTGAGTGGCTGGAACATTGGACTCTTGGTTCGTTCAGAATGAAACGCTTTACAACATTCAATATAAATGAGCCATTTATTTCATTCTAAACAATGCACATATAGTAGACAAATTGTTATTAACACATACAATATATTCAATATTATTTGTAATTATTTAACATTTAACAACAAAATTTGTAAATATACTTGACGTAGGGCGGCCTCGCCTGTCCTTACATCCAACCACCTGCGAAAGAAAGCAAACATCTCCACTGCAAAGATATCTCATTCTCTTTCGCTTAAAATTTCGCTAGTCTGCAGAAAATCGGTCGAAAATTCAGCGCAATTCGAAGCAACTTTTTGTAACAAAAATCGCGTTTATCTGTTTTCCAACTGAAAACTTCACCTTGCCGAGGGCCAAATGCTCTTTATTGACGGTGCAAGTTTGAACTTGGTACTTGCTCTGATGAGGAAGTTGTAAATTTTTGAAGTTGGAGCGCGTGGTTGAGAGGAAATATAATTTTTCTTGTTTCTAAAATCAAGGTTATTGTCGATATTGGCAAAAAGCTCAAAAATTTACAGAGTAATAACGGCCAAAAAACTCAAGATTTGATTACTCCAGTTTGAAAGTTGCAATTTTTTAAATACAGTCAAAAACAAAGCTGTCAAAAATCAGGATGTTGGACTCGTGTAATGAAAATTCCACAGTGTTTCGATTCAAATTTGCAAAAAATTGTGAAAATTTCAGGTTGCTACTTGTTTTGGTTCGGCAGTTATGAATTTTTAAACTTGAGAAGTTAAGTGAAAAGATGCATTTTGAGACCAACCGTTACAAAGTTAGCGAAAACAAGGATTATTGACCATTTAAACGAAACTTTTACAATCTTTAGACTGATGTGTATGCGAAAGGCTGTAAAATTTGCAAGATCCTGTTGGATCTAGCATAGAAGTTATAAATGTTTAAGTTGGAGCGCGTGGTTAGCGGAAACACCAATTTTGACACCAATATTTAGGAAGTTGCTGGAAATCGAGATTATCGCTGCTATTTTCATAAAGTTTAAAATATGTAAACAGAAGTTTTGTCCAATGAGCGCCGAGAAACTCAAGTTGCCACTTGGTCCAGTTTCCCAGCTGCAAATCAAAAAAAAATCAGGTAACTGGAAACTTCCACTTTTATTTAAGTTTCTACAAAGCTGTCCAAAATCATGATCTCCAATTCGTGTGAGGAAATTCAAAGAGTTTCGCTTCAAAAGTTTTTAAAGACCGTGAAATTTTCAAGTTGCTAGTTGTTTCAGTTCGGCAGTTACGAATTTTTCGGGCTGAGAGCGCAGTTTGCGTGAAAATATGCTGTTTGAGACCAACGGTTATTAAGCTGGAAAAAATCAGGATATTCAACCATTTGGAAGAAATTGCTACCATCTTTAGACCCCGGTGTATGCAAAAGATTGGAAAAACTACACGATCCTGCCCGCTCTCGTTTCGGTTAATTTAATTATAAATGTGTGGTTGGAAGGGAACAGCAATACCAAACAGCTTGATAAAAATGAAAATTTCGTTAGTCTGCATAAAATCGGTAGAAAATTCAGAGCAATTCAAAGCAACTCTTTGCTTTGCCCAATCGCAAGTAACGAAAACTGTAAAAAAAATAAGTTTATCTGTTTTCAACTGAAAACTGCACCTTGCTGAGGGCGAAATGTTCTTTATCGACTGTGGAAGTTTCGACTTGGTACTTGCTCTGGGGTGGAAGTTATACATTTTTGAAATTGTAGCGCGTGATTGATAGGAAATATAATTTTTTTAGTTGCTAAAATCAAGGTTATTGCCGATATTGATAAAAAGCTCATAACACACAGGCTAATAACGGCCAAAAAACCCAAGATTTCATTGATACAGTTTCAAAGTTGCAATTTTGTTAAAGACAGCCAAAAATCCTGCCTGCTTTCGTCCGGATCTCGCACGCCTTCGATGAAAATTGCCCAGTCTTTTGATCGAAATTCTTTGAAAATATTTTGCAAAGGTTTCGTTAATGCTTCCGTCACTGCCTTTGTTCGGTAGTGACGAATTTTTAAATGATAGTGAAGTTGGGTGAAAACATGCAATTTGACACCAATATTCACTAACTAGCAAAAATCAACATTATGCACAATTTAGGTGAAAATTCCACAGTAGCTAGGAGCAACTGTGTGATAACGCGTCAAATTGCAAGCTTTTATTTCCTCTCGTTCGGCAGGCAGAAATTTTTATGCGAGAGAGTGCTTTTTGTGCGTAAACTGCATTTACTAAGCTGGCAAAAATCAGGAATTTATATGATTTTGATAAAAACTCCCGAATCTTGAGACTCAAGTATGTGCAAACGGGCGTGAAAATTACAAGTTGCTGCTTGCTCTAGTTTCAATTTTGTCCAGCATCAATGATTAGGAAGATTTGACTCTTGCGACCTTTGCAAAACACTCCTTGGTTTTCATACTAGTTGCCTTGAAAAGTGGCGCCCTCGAACCAATTTTCCGCATAAAAGTCCGTCCTTAACTAAACTCTTTCCCTAATAAAGCTATACAATTAGGCACATATAAACATATAATCTACACCATAAGACCATGGTTTATTTTCGGTATCAAAATATCCGTAAGTTTCCAGTACAGTATCAATGGGCTCGCGACTTTCCAGCGTTAAATTGCCCCACAAATCAACTACTCCTACTTGAACGAAATTCGTCAATGGAATTTCGATGTATTCAATGTGATAACTGAGACTAAGAACATGATCTCAATCTGGTCATTTCTAGGTGACAAGGCCAGTGTTGTTTCGGTAGATTAACCGTTACCATTAAGCCCATCATGTGTAAGATCACTCACGATAACACAATACATATAAAAATTAATATCACATTTATGGAATTAATTTTACTATACAAAACTAAGCGAATTTAGGAATATCTACGATTCACAATCGGTTATCAAAAATATCTTTGGTATGCATTGGCATGGCATGTACACGTTATACTTTCGGTGTTCGCAACACCCCATTTGGAAGAGCTAATTTCAACGTCTGTGATAATCTAAGGGAAATGAGGACAAGAGTGAGTGGCCTGGCCGAGTATTAAATGAAGAATCCGGTGTCTTCGACCCATTGATCGATAACCGGACCGAATGAATCGTTGAAGAACAAGTCGATCTCTTTGTACATGTGAAGAAGTGCCTTCTGGTTGAAGTGGTAGGACTCGTCTGGGTAAGCCTGAAACAACCAGTTGAGTGGAGGTTGCTGAAAGCAGTTGAAACTTACCAGTTGCTGGAATAGAATATTCTGGTCAATCAGTGTCCTTGCTAACATTACGGCGTGCTGCGAAGTGACTCGAGTGTCTGCCGTTCCATAGATAAGGAAAAAGTTCCGATTGTTCATGTTGGCCGCTTTGAGGGTCAAGTCTGCGTTATCGTACTCCAATGGATGCTTCGAGGGGAGCCCCAAGTACTTCTCTGTATAGAAGGAGTCTGCAACATCAGGAGAAACTTAGCAGGCTTTTTCGGCTTTGAAGTAAACCCCTCCTACTGTAATATCTCCAGTTGGTAATCGGCGACACACTGACCGAACAGTTGATCACTTGGTGGAAATCCTGAAGAAGCATCATGGCCGAAACGTAGCCTCCGTAGCCTTTGCCAACCACACAGATTTTCTCCCGATCGATATACTTGAAGGTATCGCGGAGATACGTCAGAACAGCCAATTGGTCTTGGACCTCGATAAGTCCGATTCGCCTCTGTATCTCTCGCCTCATTCTCACTCCCTGGAATCCTGAGCCTCGGGCATCGATCATTGCTACTATGTAGTTCCGGGTGTTGGACAAGTACCAGGACCACGCCACCTCCCATTTGGAGGAGACGGTTTGAGAGGAAGGAGAAGCATCACTGGAACAAACAAACATGTTGCTGCAAGTTCAAAGATTGAGCGAAATTGAGGATGCGATGCGATTGGAGCTGGCTTTTGAGGAATTTTACCATTAAGTTGCTGCTTGGATTTGTTTCGAATTTATGAATTTTTAAAGTGAAGTTGGGTGCTAACGGTTATGGGGAGCCTCATATTTATTCAGCTGCCAAAAATCATGCTTCTGCATATTTTCTGAGAAAAAATCAATATGTTTAGAGTAATGCGGTTCGTCCAGATTATCAAAATTTAAGTTCACTACTTGCTTTAGTTTGGAAAATGCTAATTTTTTAAGGAGCAAAAGCAGTTGTCCAAAATCATCCATTTTCAGATCTTTGTTAACTAAGCTGAGCAAAACCAGGATTTTGAGCAAGTTTGATGAAAATTTCAACGTCAAAGTCCAGGATCTTCTAAGGATGGTGAAAATTCAGTTCGAAATGTTTCATGGACGAAAATGCAATGTTTTATAACAAGGCACAACAAGCGCAATTGACTATTTGAATTTCATTCGGTTAATTTGAGATCCATATTAATTAAGCCGATGAAAATGAGAATTTTGGGCAAATTTTCAGAAAATTTCTGCATTTTCAGAGTGAAGTGTGTTCTACATATGGTGAAAATTGAGGGTTTCTGTCGGTTTCAGTTTGGAAAGTACGAATTTTTAAAGTAAAGAATACAGCGTCAGTTTTTAGGAACTCAGGAAAACTTCAATTTTCTGACCAACATTTACTAAGCTGGTAAAAAATCCTGATATTTGGCAAATTTAAAAAAATCCAGTTTCTTTAAAGGTGTTGGAATCTTCACAATGATGCTCTTTATTTTAAAAAATCAAAATTTTTAAAGGCAACAACGCAGTTCGCTGAAAACATTTACTCAACTGAAAAAAATCAGGATTTTGGGTAATTTTTAAGAAAATTTCAGCATCTAAAGAGTCGAGTATCTGCTAACGACGTTGAAATTTTTAACTTGCTTTCTTTTGGAAAATGTAAATGTTTAAATGAAAGAGCGCAGTTGAGTGAAAACATTAATTTTCAAACCAACATTTACTCAACTGGAAAAAATCAGAATTTTGGTCCACTTTTTTGAAAATTTCAGCATCTTTAGAGCCAATCATGTGCTAAAGACATTCGAAGTTTCCGGATACTGCTTGCTCTAGTTTGTAAATGTGAAGTTTTAAATGAGAGAGCGCAGATGACTGAGAATATCAATATTTGAACCAGAATTTACTAAACTGAAAAAAATCCAAATTTTCTTCATTTGTTATGAACATTTCAGCATCTTTAGAGTCAGGTTTTGTCTAAAGATCGTGAAATTTTCAGGCTGTTATTATTTTTCGTTTGGAAGATTTTATTTTTTAAAGAGAGGACCCAGTTGACAGAAAACATCAATTTTCAAACCAACATTCACTCAATTGGAGAAAAAATCCGGATTTTGGGCCACTTTAATGAAAACTTCAGCATCTTTAGAGTCTATCATCTGCTAAGGATCTTGAAAGTTACCGATTACTGCTTGCTCCAGTTTGGAAAATGTGAAGTTTTAAATGAAAGAGCCCAGCTGACTGAAAACAGCAATATTTGAACCAGAATTTACTAAACTGAAAAAAATCCAAATTTTCTTCAATTGTTATGAACATTCACTAGCCATAGAAAAATTTAGCCCGGAAATAAAAAATGCTTTCTACCGACATACACTACCCAAATACATACTGAGACTAATAAAACATAAGAGAGAACTGTATAGACTA